TCACTCCAATAACTATGGCAGAGCTCAAACGCATCCCACGACTGTTGCCCTTGGGACCGGCGCCTGGCGCTGGCGGAATGCATGGAGAGGCACTGCGCCATCTAGGCCGTGTGGTGAAGCGTGCCATCCCCGGCTGTCCAATAGACGCCTACATGCAGGAACCGTCGCGCGGAATTGGCGACGTGGAGTCATCATACTCCTCAATCCGGAGAAAGCGGCATCCGACCGCGACTCCCACCGACCTGTCCCGCTGGCCAGCCGCCTTAGCAGGCTCATGTAAAGTATTCCTGCCACGCGCATCCGAGGCGTCATCGAGTCCCAGTTGATTCCGCAGCGATCTGGTTGTTGGCCCGACAATTCCACCCTCGACCAATTGCTGCACCTCAGGGCTGCCTGCACCGCAACACCGCACTGCGACTGTCTTTGTGGAACGCGCCAAGGTCTTTGACAAGGTGGACCATGGAGATATCGAATTGGAAATGCGGCGACTGTCGATCCCCAATAAAATGGTACGCTGGTCAGCAGCGTTCCTCAATAGCACAATCGATGTGGTTTGCATCGACAAACTTACATCCTCCCCCAAGACCTCCGCGCGAGGAGCACCGCAATGAGTGGTGTTGGGTCCCGTCATGTTCATCATCGTCATGAGTTCCCTTAGTGCCCGCCTTTAGCACGTGCTACCCAATCTGCCACGGATTCCTTGCTGGTGACCGCACCCTTATCACACAGCACAGCGACAGAGACATGATTAACTTGACCCCACAAGATGGCCTGAGCGCCGTGGCAGAGAGGACCGGAGAGTACTTCACGGAGGCTAACGCCAGCAAGACGAAGTACACCGTCCTTTTTATCAGCAACACGGCTTCACTACACCTTGCTTACGAGGGCGCTTCGGCCACTGTGGAACGCGTGCCGACCCTTCTAGGCGTCAATTTCCGGAATTTTTGTGGAATGGGCGCACGCGTGGCCAAACTCCATGAGGAATCGAACCAGCGCCTGCTCCATCTGGCAGCGATTTTGTTCATTGTGCGGGGAACTAAGTGAGACACCCTGAGAGCGTTCCAGCTCGCACTGGTGCAGGCGAAGGCGTTGTACGGCACCGAATTATGGTGTTGGGACACCTCCCCGACGTCCCGCTCCACGCCAGATTCCGCACATTACCAGGCGGGCAAAGTGATTGCAGGAATCCCGAAAGGCAGCAGAATGGAGGATGCCGTGTTGGAAGCAAAGCTGCAGCCCCTCCCCGACACGGTGTTGGTGCGCAGCTTCCGCTATGTGCTCCGATGTGAGACGCGTGGCAGTGCTTTGCGGTCTAGCGCCTCCATCGCCTGCGACCCGCAGCACCCCGCCAGAGAACCACACGACTCCATCATGGCCCAGTGCCCTGCGCCTTGGATGGAGGCTCGCTGCCCACCCCTCACAGTGGCCTCTCTGCAGCCCGCAGCTCGCGTCCGCTTCCACGTTTCTCCCGATGGTGCCGCTGCAGATGACCCCGACGAAGTTAGACTCCAACCTTGCAGCCGCTGGATCGCCCGCCGCTTCCGACGCAAAGGCCTGTCGCCACACCCAGAAAGAAAACGTCACGATGAATGGACAGACGGCACCGTGGAACTCGGAGTCGAATGTGGAGCGGCGGCGATACTGTGCCTTAATGGAACGCCGATCAACGTTGCCGGGGCCGGCGCGGGACCGATATCATGCAGCCACAGAGCCGAGTGCATCGCCTTACGTATTGGTCCAAAAAGCCATTGAGCAGCATTCCTCAGACAAGCACTGCGCCGTGTGGAGTGCCAATTTCCACTGGCCTACTCTTCCCTCTCACCGCCCGCAAACGGTCCCCCTCACGGTATCTGACCCGATACTTCGTCGACTCTGGACACTCCTGCTTCGACTGCGGTGCCGAGGAGCGCGTATATGGATGCATTCTGTCCTTGGCCACTGCGGCGTGTCCAGGAACGAAGCTTGTGATGCGGTGGCCACGAGGGCATCCGAACCCGCACAGTTCACAGACACATGGACCACCGGCATGGTTGCACTGGCCAGACGCATCATTTGTGCCCGACGGCTGAAGGCCGAAACTCGCCGCTCCACTGCAACGTGCGGCCGGAATCCCACGCGCACGGACTCCACCCTCACTCGTGAGGAAGAGGCTGCACTGGATCGCTTCCGCACCGGGGTTCCGCACAGGTACGTATGGCTGCCACCACCACTGCAACCCGCCATCCCAGGCACATGCCGTTGCTGTGGCCTGGATGCCCCACAACAGAAGCGCAAAAAACTCGCACGAAACCTTTTCTCCCGCTGGACTCCACCCTGCCACGGTGCAACGCCCCGGCAGAATGCCCGGTGTGCGGCAAGCACTGCAGTTGCCGCACTATTGTCGTCATGCACACGGTTAACGCCCATGGCGTTACGCGCTCCCAGATGCTGTGGAAATTCAACTTCCGCTGGCAACCTGGGACGGCGAGGAATACCGCCGGAACCACCACCCACCACTTGAGCGGGGACGGGAGCGAGAGACGACACGCCGACCGCACCTCCGCCACAGACTACGCAGCCCAGGCCGCAGCCATTCCCATGCAGTCTCTGCTCGGCGTCGTCCGACCAAAAAGCCGGAATCGTACTTCAACTCCGGCATTTCCACAAGCAGGACCGCTCCGGGTCACGAAGGAGGCGTCCTCGGGGATATGACGATCTGGCTGCATCCATCCCGTCCCGGTGCACGCCCTGTGGATTCAAGGCCCAAACGAGGGCGGGACTACCATCCCATTCACGCGCACACGAACGCTCCGAAACAGAGCCACATCCGGCACCAGGAGCCACAGCACTTCATGAACGCCCTCAATGTGACGGGCGGGCGAGCAGTGCCGGAGCCTCGGGCCAGCCACGCCCGGCACAATCTGTCCGATGGTGAGAATGAGAATGTCGCGACGCCAAAATGGAGCTAGAATGCACGCGCCGCACGGCTTGAACCACAAGGAAAAGAAGGCCAATCCCACACAGTGACTTTGCCTCGGGCGGCTTTCTCCTCCACGCAGAAGGAGAATGCCACTGAGGAACAGCGCACTGCGCGCCTAAAATGTTACGCGCACATCCATGCATCAGCGTCCCGCTGTCGCCGATTCCAGGACGCCAGAGGGTCAGGCCGCCGAGAAGGCGCACGCTGCCCGGCGAGGACAGCCCGATGGAATCAGCACCGGCCGAATTTCCCCGTCCAACATGCGGCTTTCAGCGCCACAGCAGTGACGGACTGGCTCGCCACCGCACGGCATGCCACGGGCATCGACCGGACGTCGCGAAAACCGGCCAACGTGAACTGTGCGAGGAGACTGTTCCGCACCTACGCCGCCGCCCGGCTCCGCAGGCGCATGGGAAAAAACATGGAGTGGACGCTTGGGAAGTGGGGAATCTGTGCTTCACCAAGAAGTTGGCGCAGTTGCCCCTCGAGTCGGGGAGGCACTGCCCCCAACAGCGCCTCTGCGCGGCGGGAAGGCACAAAAGCCCTCGCAAACGCGGTATAACGTTGATGCTCGTGGCAGGTGCATCCTCTTCCCTTTTCCTGATTTGTCGACGGCCCGGTTTATCGATTTGTTTTTTTTTTCTTGATGCTTGGCGGCCGCGGGTTGTCGAGGTGTTGCGCTAGCCCGGGGCGGTTGCGTAACGTGGTTGTGTATTGCGCCGCCCACTGCAGCGCCATCTCCGGGGGCTGGGGCTCTTCCTCGCATCTCCGCGCGGCGCGGCGGCGCTGCACTGCGACGCTGGCCGACTCCCTGCTGGTTGCCGCGAGGTCGACGCCGCTTGTGTATCTTCCCGGCTCGCGGTCCTCGCCGTACGCACCGGTGCTGGTGCTGTCGGGCCTGCGGCTTGTGCGGTCCGTGCTGGTTGTGTCTGGCGTGGCCCTCGTGACCGTGATGACTGGTGGGCGGACGGTGGTGGTGGACGGCGCCGTGCTGGAGCTTGTCGGTGGCGGTGTCGCGCTGGACGCGGCTGTGTTCGGTGGCGAATATGCGTTGTACGCGAGTGCGCGCGTGGTTGCGTCAGGGGGCGCTGTGCTGCGCGTGTCGGGGAGCCAGGTGTACGCCGCGC